GTTGCAAATGGGAGCAAGCACATATTTTCTGTTTTATTTCCTATAACTTACACTGTATTACTTTTTAGGTAGGAGAAATGTCCATCGTGTTTATCTACAGACTGGAGCTTCCTCCGTGACCAGAATTCCATTTCCTTTCTTTGCCATGTTGACTTTCTCTCTGTGCTCCCAGTCACATGGCATTTCAGGTGGCGCTGAACTTATCCATCCGTGATTTTGGAATTCAGAGGGTTTGAAGAACAGCTGACTAAACAAGCCATGTTATTGAGTTGGAAGAAATTGGGATCTTTCACGGGACTGCCGGCCAAGTTGAGCTCAGTCCCAGCTCTAATCTTCATTTGCCTGGAAGTTCATCTAATAAACCTCCATTTTCCCACAGAGTCAGGCTGCCATACAGGGGAGAAAGGTTGAATAGACAAACTGTCAGAGAAGGAGGGAGTCTCTTTCCTTAGGATGGCGGTTCTCAGTGAGTCTCCATTTGGGAGATGAGAGACAGATGTTGACAGTATAACTCTTCACAGCCCCTTACCTTCTAGGAGATTACAGAAGCTCGCCAAGCCAAGTGAGGTGAGCCTGAGCATTTATTCTTAGCCAAGATGACCCAACCTTATCTCTCGAGCTAGATGTCTTCCTAGAGCTTTCTGAAGCAACCTGGCATCTTTGAACTCTGGCTTCCTCCATAAATGACATCGCACAAGCGTGTCCCATGCTCCTTCCTGTGTCTAGCTGACTGTAAACGGACCCCTGTCCTAGCATCTGCCCTGAAGAGCCAACTCTTTTTGTGTCTGCCTAGCTCCCATCTATGCCTCATGATCACCAACTTCCAGCCTTGCCTGGGCCAGCAGCCAGAATTCATGGCTGAAGGCCTAACAGATACCTTCTTCTTCACAAGCTGCTACCAAGACCCTCCCTGCCAGGACTCTACAGGGGCTCTGGCATGTCACTGTGCCAGAGGGCTTGGCGTAGGCCAGCCTGGCGTCACTCATGCTTAGATAATGAGCACAGGCATGTTTGCTGTTCTCCACCTCCCAAGAAAAATCTGGCCCATGGCTGCCATAGAGGACTGAGGTCTGAGGACCAGGGCTGGCAGAGGAACTGTATCACCAGGTGGTACATGTGGGTCTACCAGCCCATCCAGGGAGCTTGTCATATGCTCAGGCCTCATTTTGGATCAAAAAATGGGAAAAAAGTTCCCTATGCTATTCAGAACACCAGCAAGTACCTTCCCCCCTCTTTCTTGTGTCAGTTTTAATTTTTAAATGGATCTGTTACTTCTCTATTACACCAGAATCATAGCTGGATTGTCATCACAGCCAAATGACCCGGGCTATCTCTATCTGGACGACAACTTCTAATTACATTTTTAGATGTAGAATGAAAACAGTATTTTTCTAGTTAGTTTGCAAAAGGAGATGGGAGTGATGGAGGCTGGCCTTCCCTGGAAGCTACTCTGAGTATAAAACCATGAATTCCCTTCAAACTGGTGCAGCCTTCATTGGTGTCAAAACTCTTCCTTCCCTGCAGAACCTTGGTGGAGCTTTTAGGCAGCACTGTTCCGTGTCTCAGCTACTGGTGGTGTGCTGCCATGGTGGACTTTCTGATGGACTCTTAACATGATTTCTTGGCTGACTGAGAGAAACCTTCGGGCCCTTGCTCCTCAGGGGCCGCTGCGGTGGGTAAGTGAAGTACTTAGGGATATTTCTGCACATGAGCCTTACTTACATTGGAGCTGGTGGGATACAGTCATCACATTTCAAGTCTTTTTATTTTCCCTTGGTGCTGACCCTGGAGCTTAAACTCAGAGCCTGGGTTCTGTTCTTGAGCTTTGTTTTGCTCAAGGCCAGTGCTCTACCACTTGAGCTACTTTTGGCTTTTTGATGACTAATTGGAAAAGTCTCATGGACTTTCTTTCTCAGGCTGGATTTGAATCATGATCCTCAGATCTCAGCCTCCAGAGTAACTAAGATTACAGCCATTAGCGCCCAGCTTCAAGTCATTATTTTGAGATGGAAGAGAGACACCATTTGGAGGGTGTTTCTTTAGAAGGAGAGGAGTGTTACCCAGAGGAAGAAGGGACTAAAAAGCAAAGGCTTTGAAGAGCACACTCACTGTAAATGAGGATTTAGTGACTCTCTGAAAATGAGTATTGACTCTGTGCTAAATACTCAGCCAAGTGCTTTGAATGGAATACCTTATTTAATCCCAAGATACAGGCACTATATACCAATTTAACACAGAAACATTAACAGATGTGTCTGTGTCTCCAAGCTGGCAAATGGTGGCCTGTGCTGATGTAAATAAAAGCCTTATGGGAAGCTTGTCCACTTGTCCACCCTGGTCTCATTCAACCGTGACTCAGCCTGTCACCAGAATGTCTAAAGCTCGAAGAAATTTGGGTGGCTGCAACTAGTCTAACTCTTTTACTAGGCAGATGGGAAAATAGACTCAAGAGGTGATAGTAGTTGGTTAAAAAAAGTGCTATTGTAAGAGTTGAGCTGAGATAAATATCCCAGTTGCCTGCATCCTTAGCAAACTTATTGAGGTTGAGAGGATGGTTCCAGGACTTCAGAGCTACTGAAACTTTGTTGTTGTTGTTCTAGAAATGAAGCTCCCATACCTTTGGTTCTGGGAGTAGACTGCTGCAGAGCCACATCTCTCAGGTAGCTTACCTAGTCTGTCCACTTCTCAGATAACAAGGAATTAGAAACTCAAGACTTACCCTTTATGGTCAAATGGAAAGAAGTTACTGACTTATCATGTCAACCTACTGTCTGGAAACTTCTCTCTTCAGGGTTATCTTCTCAATTGCTAAATTCCAAGACCATTTTTTCTGTTTTTTTTTTTTTAAATGTGTTGGCTTTGATATCATTTTCTACAGCCTAGTCATAAAATCCTCTTCTCTTATGATGTTACTGTCCTCTGATTTCCCTTTATTCCCTCTTTCCATTCCTCTTCATTTTCTTTCTGAGATGTACCTTTTCTGTGTGTCCCTTACACTTCCCTGTACTGTAGAATTCTGACTTCAGTTCCCCGTTCGTAAGTTACTGTTAGATCTTTTTTTTTTTGGCAGTTCTGAGATTTTGGACTCAGGGCCTTGCGCTTGCTAGGCTGGTGCTTTACCACTTGAGCCACATTTCCAGCTTGACTTTTTGTTGGTTACTCTAAAGATAGAACCTGCCACATTTTCTGCCAAGCCTGGCCTTGAACTACAATCCTCTAGAACTCAGTCTTTGGAATGGGGAATTGGTACCAGGCTTCAGGTCATTTTCTTTAAATGAATAAAACATTCCTTCCAAGATGATAATAAATACTATTCTTATGCCTTTTAATTTCATAATCCTACTAGGTCTTTGAATTCTTTCTGGTGACTCTTGTAAGTGGACAGAAGCAGAAGGTATAAAACTAAAGCTGGGCCACTGTGTTAGGGACAAGGACAGGAAAATGAGAAAGAGAACTGTTGTGATGCAAACCCAGTATGTCCAGCATGTTCTTCATCAGTAGAATTTAGGAAGGAACTTGTCACGTGGTAAATGCAGGCCAGACATATCAGTGAACTGAAATTTATTCACCATGCTCAGCAGGAAGCAATGGACCTGATGTTTAGCTAATATAAAATAATGTGTCATTTTGCGACCTATCCCTTGAGGGAAGGATTTGCAAAGGGCTGGTTCTCCCTTGAGATTGGAGAATAGTTATTTATTTCAAACATTGTCATTCTGGCTGGTGTGGCTGATGACAAGTCAAGCTCCCTTTCAAGGCTCACTGAGTAGCACCTTGCTCCTGTAATCTGCCTACCTCATATGACAGGAGTGATTGCCTAATTTTATCTTTCTTTTCTAATGTTTGTCAAGTATTCTAGCATAACCACCAAAGGGACTATGGGGACTGGCTCTTGTTAGCATTAATTGACCCTTGGTGAGGTTCTACCACAAGGGTAGAGCTCAGGTGGCAGGTGTAATGAATTGAAAAGCAACTAGGTCACAACTAGTTTTGCTTGGTAGGAGACCGACACAGTTGGCTGAATTGATCAATGAACTCTCAGAAACCCAGAGAGGGACTGGAAGGTGGTATATATCCACAAAGTCCTTCAAACTTACTTTCTTTTTATTCAATGGAGGAAAAGTTTCTCATTTCCTAAAATATGACTATTATTAGAACAAATAATCAACCAGCCATAGCAGAAGGTATTGCTTCGGAGTTGTTTCAGGTTGTGGGGCTGGATGAATGAATATTCATTGGCTGATTTTGAGCAATGTTTAAGTGACCTCTGCCAGGTACTGGAGGACACTATACCAGGCCAAGCCTAAATCCTTCCCTGCCTTCGGGGATGGATGAAGAAAGGAATGAGTTTCTATTGATCATTTCAGGCAAATCTGAACTTGGCTCATTTTCTTCCTCTTTCCTTTCTCTCGTCCCATCATCTTTGTCACTTGAATCCAACTTGAACGTGGAGAGCCCGCCCATCTCCCCCTCTGTCTCTTTGTCCTTCTCTTCCTAATCTCCCTCTTCCCTTCCTTTTTCAGCTTTAAGTGTTCTAAATGATCAAACAATTCTATACAGCTTTAAAACCATAGACCTAAAGTTGAAGATGTCAGAGTACTATGAGATATGCCAGGCTATACTCTGATTTTTGTAGCTGAGAATCCTGAGCATTTTCCTCATTCTATTCTGTCTTAGAAATGAGAAGCTTAGACACTAAAAAGTCTCATTCAAAACCTTATACAGACTGCTTTTTTTGCATGTGAGGTGTGTGTGTGTGTGTGTGTATGTGTAAGGCTGGCACTCTACCACTTGGGCCACAGCTCCACTTCTGGCTTTTTGCTGGTTAATTGGAACTAAGAGTCTCACGGACTTTCTTGCCTGTGCTATAGCCTCAAACCATGATCCTCAGATTTCAGCCTCTGAGTAGATAGATTACAAATGTCAGCCACCAGCACCCGGCTTCTTGTGAAGGTTCTTAGAGCTAACAAAGCAAGTGACTGTTGCCATCCATGACTCACCCACGAACAGCTGGCTGTAGAGTTCCAGGCGGGTGTGGCCTTCGGTGGGGGCCTTGCGGATCTGCTGGGGCAGCCGGTCCACCTGCAGGCTGGCCTGCTTGACATTCCTCTCTGCCGTGACGCGGTGCCACTGGTCATCATTGAGGGGGGAGGGCGACCTCACCACAATCTCCACTGGCCCATTTCCGACATCAAATGAAAAGGCCACTTCGGTGGCAGCTGGAAGAACAGAAAGCAAGAAAAGTAACATGAGCCCATTTCTCTTAGGTACCTGGTGTCAGTAAATGCTTGAGGAACACAGAATCTAACCCAGAACCTTATTACCAAAGCCAGCACGAAAACATTGGAGGAAGGAGAAGCATTATTCTATGGCTTTCCATTACTAACCAAAGAGAGAAAAAATACATTTTTTAAAAAAATTGGAGGTGTGGGTATCAGATGGGCATTTGATCGTTAGAAGCCAACATTGACTTTAGCATCATTGACTCTTTCCTGATAAGAAAATAGAGAAGTAAAATTGACAGTAAGATACCTTGTTAAGTATTGTAATTGGTGAGTTATAGAGACAGTATCCGAACCCTTCAGCTGTCAGGTTTTGGGGCCTGAGAGTGTTTGACCCCACCCATACCTGGCCTCTCCAGGAGCTCTAAGCCGGTGATGTACGGTCATCATTTGGAACAGCTGGATCTGGATGCTGACTGCGGTGAATTGGAGCCATTACCCCCAAAGCTCCCGAAGAAATGTGATTACCTAGTGAGGGTTGAGAACGACTATTGGGGAGCATTTACAAGACTGTATTTCGTGAATCTTCACTGTCTTTTTCCATAGTTGTTAAGAAAAGGCAAGTGACGAGCTGCTTCTTTTCTGGGGGAGTGGTGGGTGGTGGTGGTGGTGGGGAGGCGTTTGTGGCTGTCCTGGAAGTTGTCCAGCTTTTGGTGTTAGTTGTCTCCCTCAGCTAGTCCCCATGGGAGATGTGAGCCTGCACCACAAACCACCCTTGTGTTGGGAGATCTCTGAGCCAACCTCAGCAATAAATCACCTCCCCCAAATCGGTGCATAGTTTTGGAGGTTGCTTTGTCAAGTTGAGATGCAAGAAGTGTCTTCATTCCCATTTTTAGTTTTATGTGAAGTTTCCAGAGGCTGCTTGGTGCTCTATAAACACTTTTGTAAATGTATATTTTTCTTGCAAGGAAAGGCAGCTTCCTACTCAAACCACATATAGCATTCCCGAGGCCTGATGAATTCTTTTCAACACTAAAGATGTGGGACACTTGTGAATGTCCAGACTTTGCTTATAAAGATATCCAGCCCTGTATCCATCAGTAAGCTTTCTGCCTAATCTCTAAGCAGTTTAATTAAATAACTGTCATTTTTTTTTCCAGTCCAAGGCTAATGGAACATGCAGTTTCTTTAGGCTGGTACCATTTTGAGGCAGTGTCACAAGCAATCAAACTTCTAATTTAAAAACCACAGTGGGCCAGGCTTCTCTCAGGACCTCTACTGTTCCCCGCGTCCATGTCTCTGAGAGCTGCATTAACTTTATTGAGCTACAGGGATATTAGACACACAGATTGCAATTCAATCAACCTCATTGGACTAAAGCATTTTGATCCTTCGTGTCATTAGAAAGAGAACTTCAATTTAAACACCTGCAGTGATTTTCAACACACGCCAGTGCAATACCTCATTCACATTAGGAGCCTCTGTCTCCAGGGGTCATCTCCACAGGACTGGGCTTGCAGGCCAGTGACCCCCATCAGGGTCTCCATGGAAGCATATTGGAATGCAGGTAGATGATCATATGGTCTATAGACAGAGGGAAAGCTTTCTCTGCACCTCTTATGCAGTTAACGGGGGCGGGGGGGGAGGAGTTGGGGAGGAAGGGGTCTTGGCTCCACAATGAATCTACTCTTTCTTTCTTTTTAATGATTTAAGATAGCTTGGTTTTATTCAGCAAACTACACATTCAGATTTACTGAACAGAGCCACTATCTCAATAGCAGAGCACATTATTTCTTGCCAGTTCTGGAGATTGAACCCAGGGCTGCAGAAGGCTAAGCTCATATCTACCACTGAGCATCTCCTCCTCCAGTACCCACCAAAAGAGGCAAAATGTAACTTAGTTTGGAGGTCACATGGCACACTCAGCAAGTTACTCTATCTCCAGTCATAAAATAAGTCTAATACTAAATTTAAAATAGCTGAAATCATGTGGTACATCATGCGACTGAAAAAGTAAGAAATCCATACCAAAGTTATTGGAAAACCATTTGTACAGTGCCAACTTATACAATAACAGTATGCACAAACAATGGGTCCAAGAGAAGAGATCATAAAGGAATTAAGAAAACTTCTCAAGGGGTTAATATGGACATGTAATGAATCTACTCTTTCTTGTGCTGAGTCTCAGCAGATCATTTCGAAAGGAAGGTGGTCAGAACAACAAGAGAAAGGTGGTGGGGGAGAGGGAAGGAGGACGCCTCTTGGGCTGATTTTACAGGCATCACCTGCCATCAGGGGAAAGAGAATCCAGGGGTAAATTGAGTTTAACCTTGAGGTTTGACTCAAAGGGATACATGTCACTGGTCTAATTTCCTCTGCTGCTGTCCTTTGGCTCTGGTGAATTCTTGTGCAAGTCTTTCAACGGTCACAGTTTGGGGAATTCTGAGCAGTTGTGATCATTAGAAAAGAGCCACCCTGCTTGTCACAATGGATCCATCTCTCTTCTTCTTGACTGTGGTCCTCTTCGCAGCAGCACTTAGCCCGAGAGAAGGAATGGACCAGGGCTAGGAAGCAGCTCAGAGCAGGACTCAGAGTAAGGGGACTCAAGGCCAAGGGCCTCCCTATTTCCTTTCTATTTCTTCTTAAGAAGGGCGGAGTGTGTGTGTGTGTGGTGTGTATATGTGTGTATGTGTGTGTGTGCATGCATACATGTGTGTGTGTGTGTGTGTGTGTGTGTATGGGGGGCAGGGGGTCTGGCAAGGCCTAGCATGAAAGGGAAGGGAAGGGAAGGGCAAGACTTCTTTCTCTCAGTCACTCAATGTCAGCTTTCCTGACACTGCTAAAGGATACCTTTGAGAAATCCCATCTCCTAGGCAGACAGCCAGTGCGTTCTAAAAGCTTCTAAAGTTCAGTTTGCGGCTGATTGCTCTTGGTCTTCTGGGTGAGAGCAGCTGACATTTTAAAAGAGCTAATTATAGAGGGAGTCAGTGAGCGAATAAAGGGAGGCAGCGTTGAAGACACCAGAGCCAATGACACCATCGTTACTTAATGTGCATCTCCACTTGGACACCGCAGTCTTGCCCTGTGTCTGTGTCTGCACAGAGAAGGGAGTTCTCACATAGCGAACATTCTTATTTCCAGAAGCAAGGGTTTGAGAAACGGGTGTGTGTAGCGTGGCTCATTGGAAAGAGCTCTATACAGTCAACATGAATGGTTGCCCTTCCAGATAATATTGAGGACTGGGAAAAACAGATTTTTTTTCCCCTGACAAGTTGACAAGTTAGTTGGCCACCGTTTCATGATGCTGAAAAGCAGATGTGAGACTCCTGGGTCAGAGACAAAGGACTTTTATACTTTAAACAGAGCTGGCAGCAGGAGCTTCCTGTTCCTTTTTTTTTTTTTCATTTTTCCCTTGTCCCCCCTCCCACCTCCCTGGGGAACTCAGGGAGGTGACACAGAGCAGCCTGGGTGGTCACCACACAAGCAGTAAGCTTGTTTCACAGTGGATGAACCCTCCAATTAGAAACCCCCAGCCTTTTAAAGAAGCTGCTAGCCAACCTGCTAAACATTTGCTCTGGAGAGAGATTTTGTCATTATTATCTTGAAGAGGACGCAGTGGAGAAAGACACTATCTCTGTTTACCAATAATGACAGCCATGGTCACATCCTGACAAGAGCTAAGAGCTGAGGCCCTCTCTTCTGCTTCTCATTCAGAAGAGAAGAAGAAATGGAAGAAAATATGGAGAATCTACTGCCCTCAATCACCCACTCTTTGCTTTCCAAGGAAGAGAATTCATGTCAGAGTCCCATCCTGCGGGCATGTAAACATGCATAGCCTTGTCCAAGGTCCTGAGGATGAACTTGCACCTCATGGAGACAAGCATGACTATCCACACTCCATGTCAGGCTCTACTTGGTCTGAGGCAGAACCTTCTTTCCTAGACAGTAAGTCATGGGTGGGTGTCTTTTGGTGGCTGTTGGGCAATGTTTCTTAGTTTATGAGACAAAGGCAAAAATGGGACCTTCGTCTGTCCTTTGATGTTGGGTGGGGGTTGTGACTCCTTGCATTCTGCAATCATTCTATAGACATCAGGCATGGAGGAGATCCAGGAAAGTGATGGGATGAATCTTGGTCCATGGTGAGACTGTTCAACTCCTACATTATTCCTGGACTACACCACCTCAAGACTTCCTCTAGGAGACATTGGGTGCTGTGTAAGCCAATTTGATGACTCCTGCAAGCATCCTGTCTGAGGTAGGGCCTGGCCTGGGAATCTGTATTGATGACATCTACCCTTAGTTTTGCCTTTTCACTCTTTTGGGGACTTGGTTTACCGGTCTTTGAGGTGAGCACTGTATCTATCGTTTTCCAAGAGTCCTTGTGTCCAGAGTGTGGCAGAAATCACTGAACTAGGTTGCCTCTAAAGTTCCTTCAAATTGCAAGATCCTGTGGCTTAAGTCTCCAAGAGAGTCTCAGAAAAATAACAAAATGAAATGCACCTAGTCTTCATGGTAGTTTTAGACACTGAATCATTATATGGAGAACAGAGAAACATTAAAAGGTAAGTTCAGAGTGTGGCATACTGGCATGAAAGTATGCTAGCTGGTAGAAGGAGCTGTTGAACAAAGCTAGAGCATGCCTTCCGAGGGGCCTTACACCAATCAGTGGAGCAAACCATCACTGCAGGTGGAATGAATTCCAGCAGGTGGCACTATACACTCTCATTCTATCTTCATAAAATTTTTTCAAACAAATCACAGAAGGCTTAAATGCTCTGAGTGATAAATTTAACAACTGCCCAGAGAGTAAACTTTTGGGCTCTGAGGGCTCCCAGCTGGTGAGGCCATGTGTAGACACTAGAACCAAAGTGCCAATGGGAAGATGCAGGTCATGCATCCATCCCTCACAGAAGAGGGAAAAGGACAAGGCAAGGAGAGGAGCCCTCACCGAACCAGGCACCGATGTCACAGTTCTTGCAACAGTTGTGTGTTTCCCA